CAAACGATTTGTTTTCTTTTTTTATATAATAACAGTAATAATTCATAATCATATGTTGTTGTCAGGATCAAGAACTGGGCTGCTTTGTAGTGAAAGTTGAATTCGGGGCACAACTGAGCGCACTACAAGGGGGATTAATAGGTATTGTTTTGTAGGTATGTAGAATTGCTGGTTTTACATAGCATAGTACGGTTTCGAAAGATTTTTGTTATGAAGAGTATGCTGTTTAGTTCAACGGATGCGGAGTTGATTTGTTTTAATGAAACTTTCGCTTCAACATTCTTCTAAATTGAGAAAAAATAAAAAACTGGAATATGTCATTAAAAGAATTAAATACTCATTCTCAATACCTTCTTCATACAGAGCGGACGTATTCTTTTGCTGTCTATTTCTTCTATTCTTTACATTTTACAAATAGTTTTTGCTAGTAAATATTTCTACGTGTATTGACTGGTCACGTGCAAAACGTGACAAGTTTGTTCTTTTTTCTTTTGTGGGCTGATGGCCGATTTAAGGCGTTATGTTGAACCTAATTGCGCTAAACCCCAAAATCTGATGGCACAACCATGTTCTAATGTGTATGAAACATGATGCGGTTAATGCATGATGATAGTAACTATGAGTTGCTTGATCATGGCTATGGTAACTACGGACAAGATGGTGTAATGTTAATATGAATAATTATCGTAATGGATTTCAGTCTAATTTTAGTCAAATGAATGATGTTAGATATTATTGTAATCATGGTGGATATAACACAAATGGTTTTGACAATATGAATCAAATTCCAAATCCTAATGTTCGTAATAAAAGATTCAAAGAGTATAATTCATCTAGGGATTTATCAGTATCTCAACAGATGTATGATTCAAATGTCTATAGTCAACAGCAAAGTGGTAATATGTCGATTGATAATTATGTTTATATGGAACGTCGTGATACAAATGAGGCCCAGTTATCAAATATCACGGATCAAGCTATAAACTATGCAATATCTAGGCATGATTTTTCTCTATTTGTTATAAAATTTGAAAATAAAGTTTCGGAGAGTAAAGTTATTAACGACTTATGTGAGCATGTAAACAAATATTGTGGGGAATTTGATCTAAAACTAGCAGGTTTTCCGATTCTCGTTTAAAGAACCTAATTCTGGATTGGTATTTGTTAAAGATAGATACTCTTTTGGTGTATTGTATAACGAAAATAACTGGCCAAGGAATTGGGCGGAAATAGAATTGGGATTGAAACAAAGCCGTCTATACCTCCGCAATTAGCATTAGTGTTAAGGAACATTAGATTGGATCATAATGTAAATGATTTGTTAACGGAGATTCAGGAAGAATAATCCGGATATAGTTGACGCATATAGAACGAAGAGTAAGAATGGAGAGGCTACTCCTCTGGTTAAAATTAGTGTTAATAACGGAAACTCTACGACGATTTATTAAAGCAGAAATATATGTATATCAATCAATCATATTAGATATGTAGTTAACGCCTATTTAGCACCACCAAAAATACTTATATATAACAAATGTTACAGATTGGGTCATTTTAGAAAACAATGCAAGCATAATGGATATGTCTGCAAAGATTGCGGGGAGGATGTTAGTGATATTAAGAATCATAAATGTTCATTTAACATGAAATGTATACAGTGTCATGAAGCTCATTCGGCGAATGATATGAAGTGCCCTGTCTTACGAGCGTATAGAGCGGAATTAACAAAAACGGTACTCAGGAATAGTGCTGGATTTAATTCACAATTTCAATACTCACACGGGGATTTCCCTGCTATGTCTGATAACAATATACCTGCGTCTAATGTTATTTGTGGTAAAATGGCTGCTACATCCATCAAATAGATTAGATGAATTAGACAAATCATTAAAAGCGCTGGATGACGATATTAATAAAATAATTAATATGCAAAAACAACACGATGAGTCACGGAAAAAATTAGATCAAGTGATCAAGGAACTTCAATTAAATGTTTCCGATAGCAATCAAAAGATTGCAAGTTTGCAGATGGAATGCAAATTATTCAAAGCATTAGCATCCAACGTTATAATTCCACTTTCAACAATTTTGGTGAATAATTTAATTAATCAGTTCACTCATAATTCCAGTGTACCATCAGAAATAGGGTTCGTCGAGGTGAATAAGATTGCTGATTGATTGCTGAAGTGGCCTAAACTGCAAGATGATCTCAACAAAGAACTTAATGAATCATATCGTTTACGAGATACAGGTCAAAACTCATTATCTCTTACAACATCATGAGTCTATCTCCTAACGCACGTTCATTTGAGCCAAAAGGACATACGACAAGAGCAATGTATTTTGATAGAATGTCTTCTGAAGCAGTGTCATTTCTTTCCCCATTTGAGTGTATTCTGTTCAGTCAAATTCTTTTAGAGTGGCAATCTTTCCCTACTCTTCAGTGTTGTTTTAATGAGTGGAAAAAATGGAAGCGTGATGATTTAAAATGTAAGTTTACATCTTTAAATGTACTTTTTTTAACGTGCGTGGTTTTTCCACTCGTGCACACGAAACACTTCTTTTATTTGAGAGCTTAAAAGTAAATTGCCTTATTTTACTTGAGACAGGTAGATCAGAGCATTCGTTCATTTCGAACACCTTCTACGGTTTTATATATTTTTATCAGTTGGGTGAGAATGGCCATGGAAGTGTCTTAATGGTCTTTCGCCCAGGTTTTTCAGTACAACGAGTACCTTGTAGTATCCCAAATGTATCATTAGAAAATTTGGTGCTTGCTCCGCGCTGAACCAAATTGGATAAAAATTGGGCGCCAGATGCAAATTTGTCGGTGAAGCCGACAGCGGGCTCCTTATAATTACATCTTCATTTCTTTTTTAGCGTCGACATAATCAACGTGGTTTTTACCTAAATTTTATTTTTGTCATTGGCGCCTTTTTTTCAATCAATGAGAAAAATGAAATTTAGGCAAAAACCACGTTGATTATGTCGACGCCAAAAAAAAGTGAAGATGTAATTATAAGGAGCCCGCTGTCGGCTTCACCGACAAATTTTACATCTGGTGCCCAATTTTTATCCAATTTGGTTCAGCGCGGAGCAAGCACCAAATTTTCTAATGGTGTAGCGGACTTGTTAATTGATCTACCAATTCCTGTGATAGGCATCTATGACCCGGAAAGTAAAACCTGGGAATGAACTTTCACCATTTATTACTCCGGGCTGTGCCTTATTTGGAGATTTTAATATCGATATTGAAAAAGACGGTGAAAAATCTAGGGTATTGTTCGATTGGAGTGACATGTGTTTCCTTGCTCCTATAAGGCCTGATACCAATACGTCGCTGAGATCAGAGCGTACTATTGATTACGCTTTTACTGTCGGTGTTCCTTTATCTGTGGAGCATTGGAAGTTGGGACGACTATTGATCATAAACCTGTTCTTGTTTCTGTAACTTGTTCAGGTAGCGAGGTCTCCTGGGGACGTAATACTCACTGGAAGGTATTTAGTTTGTTTTTATCTAATATTTTCTTCTTTTGGAAAGAACAATGGACCTTAATAGATATCAATATTGAATATGCGAATTTAGTAAACTTACTTTGTTTTCTTTCTGTGAGATGTACTACGTACTTTCCTCTTAACAAATACCGTTTACCTATTCTTCGTGAACTTAGAAGTCATTTATCGTACCTAAGGGCTCTGTCACTTAGGTTATGTAGAACGGGTGATCAAGAGCCGAGAGTTCTGGCACATAAGTTGAGGTGTGACATTCGTAAGTTACTTAAAGATTTTCTTGCTGCTAAACTAGCAACTTCTTTTTCACAAGGAGACAATTTAGAGCGGCAAGTTTCTCTGGGTATTTGTAAACTACGCCATCACCCACCAACGCCCCCAAACTACCCGAGACCATTCCATAGATCGATAGAGCGCGTCAGATAACCCTACACCAACATCCACCAACACCCACTTGGACCTACACCTGAGGTACCCTGAACGAAATACTTCCACCAACACCCAGATGGACGCGTATTTGCATCTGCTGATCATCTCCACATTATTCAGGACGCTGATTTACCTATAGAAACGTACGTACATCACATATTTAGGGCCTACATACTTCATCCAAGGAAGATCAGTTAAAGCTAAAAGCTTTTTATTGATATCCATGTCACAGTACATCTAGATATACAAGTTTAAAGCTCCTGATTATGTATATTACATCTGTGAATTATGAAAACGATTTATTCAGCGAAAGAAACAATTTTTGGTAGGGACTTGATCAATCGAGAATCGTAGATTACAAATATTGTCATTGAACGCGATGTAAAAGTGTGTGCTACGTGCTAAAATATTCTGAAAGTATAACAATTTCTTCTCAGAGGCTGAGGGATATGGATCGGATAACGTTTATTGCCGCGATGAAATCCACATCAGACACCATTAATGCATCAGCAGCTGACTCGTCAATTTTAAGCGTTCCACGAGCCACTAAATCCCGCTTCATTGCGCAAACGTTGGCAGTTCTAACAAGCCGTTCAATATGCGCCTCCGTCCAACCTTGAGTTTCTTGAATAATTCGATCAAAGTTAACATCATGATGTAACAGATTATTTTGAAGTAGCGGTTTCGCATATATATCAAAAATATTAAGACGTGCTTCGTCGTTGGGAAGCTCAATTTTAACATGTATCTCCAGGCGACCAGGTCGTAGAAGAGCGGGATCAATTGCACTGGGGCGATTAGTCGTTGCTATTATTAAAAGGTTGTTCAACTGATGCAATCCATCCATTTCACATAAAAGCTGAGAAGTAATACTGTTTTCAACGGAATCACGTACATTAGCTTCGTCGACTGATCGTCGCTTGCAAACAGCGTCGATTTCATCGAAGATTAAAAGATGAAGATCTCCATTGGGGTCGGATTTTGCTTCATCAAACAACTGACGTATTTTCGCCTCAGAATCTCCAAGCATTTTACTCAAGATTTCTGGTCCATTAATCACTTTTGGCAGCACACCTAATATTTCACTCACCGTTCGAGCGATCAATGTTTTCCCAGTTCCTGATACTCCATATAACAGAATTCCTTTGGCATGTTTCATATTGGTTCGCTGCACAAAATTCTTCGGATAAAATCTGGCTAGCAACGCCTCACCAAATATTTTTTCAAACACCGTGTCCGAACCACCAACCTTGGCTCTAAAGTTGTACTTCTGATCAAATAGATCAACAATAGAATGCAAAGAACTCTGTTTAACTGATGGTTTAACGTAATATGTATGGTACAATTTAAGCCGATCGCGCGTTCTTTGTCGAGAATTAAGTCCAATAGTATTTGATGGTACGCCAATATCAGTGACAGCTTCAAATTTGAACTCGCCGTGACGTGTGGTTATTTCAAGGTATTGCGTTTCACTCAAATCAATATCAGTTGCATTAACAGTAGCATAGTTCGTAATATCTTCGTCGTAATACAATGGTGAATTAATTACGGTGAACTTCTTCGACATTTTTTAATTCGCGAAATTTTGTGTGAAACGAAGTCAGAAATTTAGAACAAGCAGTTATCATTTCTCTTCTTTTTTTTCT